AAATATGCCGAATATGGTGGTTATGAGGCCGAAAGTAAGGCTGGTGAACTTTTGATGGGGGTGGGTATTCCTGTGGATCAGCATCAAGGTTTGATGAGTTCGATTGCTCCGGGCTGGAAATTGCGAGTGTTGTTGGCGCAAGCCTTGTTTTCTGATCCCGATGTTTTGTTATTAGACGAACCCACCAATAACCTTGATATTCATACCATTCATTGGCTTGAAGATGTATTAAATGCTCGTAATTCAACGATGATTATTATTTCACATGATCGTCACTTTCTGAATGCGACCTGCACCCATATGGCGGATTTAGATTATGGCACACTGAAGATTTACCCTGGTAACTATGATGATTACATGGCAGCTTCCATGCAAGCGCAAGCACAATTGGCTGCCAATAATGCCAAAGCCAAGGAGCGGGTGGCCGAGCTACAAGAGTTTGTGAGACGATTTTCGGCCAATAAATCTAAAGCGCGTCAGGCAACAAGCCGCGCCAAGCAAATTGAAAAAATTAAGGTTGAAGATATTAAACCTTCTTCACGTCAACATCCCTTTATCCGTTTTGAATTTGAGAAGAAACTTCATAATTTAGCTCTGCAAGTGGAGGATCTGACAAAATCCTATGACGAAAAACTGTTTAATCACTTGAGTTTTAATATCCAAGCAGGTGAAAAAATTGCTATTATTGGTCAAAATGGGATTGGTAAAACAACGCTTGTTAAGTTGTTGTTAGGGCAAGTGCCAGCTGACAGCGGTACGATCAAATGGGCAGAACACGCGAATATTGGTTATATGCCACAAGATACCTACACTGAGTTTGAACAAGATATGACCGTCTTTGAATGGATGACGCAATGGGGGCAAGCCGGTGATGATGACCAGGTTATTCGTGGCATATTAGGGCGTTTGCTGTTTTCAGGGGACGATGTCAAGAAAAAAGTTTCAGTGCTGTCAGGGGGGGAAAAAGGTCGAATGATCTGGGGTAAGTTGATGTTGGGAAAACACAACGTACTGGTGTTGGACGAACCCACCAATCATATGGATATGGAATCGATTGAAGCGATGCAAATTGCTCTAGAAAAATATACGGGTACCCTTATTTTTGTGTCACATGACCGTGAGTTTGTTTCTGGGCTTGCGACTCGCGTGTTTGAGTTGAAGGGTGATGCGCATGTTGTTGATTTTTCTGGAACCTACGAGGAATACTTGGGTAGTCTAGGTCTTGAGGGTTAATTCTTTATGGCAAACAGGCGTGACAAAATGTACGGTAGATATCGACATGAAATAATGTTGTGTTTGATGATCCCAGATTTTCATTAGAAGCTGCGTTCTTTGATTAGCAATGAAAATTTCTAATGGGAGCCATTATAGCAACCGATTTATTTTGTTTGGCCTTAGGTGTCTAATGGAAAATATGGGATAAATATCAATTTGTTGATTGAGTTGTAAACTGCCTTGCGATTTTCTGAAAGACTTTTGCGCCATCTTTAAGGCTACGCTCATGAGTTTGACGATTGACGCGGTACAAGCCAAATTGTTTGTGGTAGCCAACATCCCATTCGTAATTGTCTAATAAAGACCAATAAAAATAACCCATAACCGGGTAGTTGTCACGAATGGCTTTTGAAACCACATACATGACCCTTTCGATGAAAATCGCTCTTTCTGCATCTCTTGCATCGTTAATGCCAATGCCATTTTCTGTGATATACATGGGTTTATTTAATGTTGCCATGCGTGCGATAGCCCGATAAAGTCCTTCAGGGTAAATGGTGTAACCCATATCCGTTTGTGCTTCGCCTGGATAGGGCAAAGGTTTACCGATTTCTGAAAAAGGCCAATTGAATGCCAAAGCATTATGAGAATAGTAGTTAACTCCTATAAAATCAATATATTGTCTGTTTTTTTTGAAATATCTCAGAAAAGGTTGGTTGTATAACCAGTCGGCAAAGTGGCAAATGAGTTTATCTGCCAAGTTATTAGGGCGATAAGGGTCAAATTGGGTCACGCTGTGAACAATGCCAATTTGTGCTGTGTCGCCATGTGGGAGCGATTTAAGTCGCTGATAGGTTTGTACGTGTGCATCAAAAATAAGCTGGGTTGTTTTCAGGTAACCCATATAATCATTGACTTTTCCAGGTGGGAAGTTGCCTACCACATAACCGACCATGGTATACACGGTTACCTCATTAAAGGTTAACCAATACTTCACTTTACTAGCAAAGCGCTTAAAAATGAGTTCGGCAAAATTAACAAAATAAATTAAATTCTCTTTTTTCTCAAATCCGCCCATTTCCTCGAACCACAGGGGGTGGACAAAATGGTGCATGGTGATCATCGGTTCTATGCCATTACGGCATAAAGCATCAATAACATCTTCATAATGCTGCAAAACAGACTCTTCAATTGTAGTCGGGGTTGGCATAACCTTTTCCCAAGCAATGGAGAAACGATAGCTGTTTGTTCCAAGTTCTTTCATTAACTCAATATCTTGGTTGTAAAGTTCCCAGTGGTTGGCCGTTAAACCAGAGGGTTCGACCACTTTTGAGCGTCCGTTACTATCCGTGGTCAGTTCCCATTTTGACCAATTACTTTCTCCCGCTTGCGCGTTACCCTCAACTTGATAGCTTGCTGTGGCTGTGCCCCAAAGAAAATGGCTGGGAAAGTTTAATTGACTGGTATCGATATTTGCCCATGTCCATTGAATGGGGGTGTAGTTTGGCTCTGGTATAATTGATAATAATTTCAATAGGTTGTTGATGGTGTGTTTCATTGCGTTTCCTCGATTTTTCATAAGGGCATTTAACTGTGCGTATGTACCTTAGGGCTGATGTTAGTTTTATCCCTATTTAATCCCATAGATCGTCTTTATCTGACAGTTGGCAAGTGTGATACCAATTCTCCATCAAAGCGCTACTTTGTCATGGCTACTAGTCTTACTACAGTAATGTCCTCGTCGCCATTTCGCGTAGCACTTTGACGGAGAATTGGTATGAGTCGATCTTAAAAATGACATGGCGTAATCATAAGATTATAAATTAAAGTGACCAGAGAGGTATAAAATTTGAAAAGAAAATTTTTAATCTAGCTTCCGTAAGGTTCATGGTTATTAGAGAAATCGTATACAATTAGGGGACTAGGATAGTGAATCACTTCGGAGGATATTACTGATGACCATAACAGCAGGTATTGTTTGGCTAGTTCTGGCCTGTTTGCTGGTGATTGCAGAGCTTTTTACGGGTACAAT